GCAAAGGATAACGTGTGATATCGTAGCACCGGACAGTTAATTGTTCTTATGTGAGCGTCCCACAGAGACGTCTGTTGAAATCTTAATTACGTTACAAAAGTGCAACTGAACGAACAGATACTTTTCTAATCAAACGTTCAATCACGATTAGCAAGAAAGGGGTAATATTCGCCTTTTTCTTCAGTTATGAAAATTTAATTTTTTATGAGATAAACTTGACCTTAATTTTTATTGTAATTGTAATGGGCAATCCGTACTGCGAACTAAAAACGATGTTCGCTAGTTACCCTTGCTCCTAATCCTCCAGCTTAACGATTATTGTGAATCCTGCCACTTTCTTAGGTTCGGAGCGCCGTGTTGTGTTCACCAAACTCCAGGTGCGATTCTGCAGAAGAGTGCTTATTCGCACGGCATAAAATGGGACACTTTTTTCGGTATCCGAACTGCCTACACTTTCAGATGATACCTGAGGGTGTTATGACCGGTCTAGAAGCCAGTCAGGAGACATATATCGCTCCTTCGTACTTCCAATATGTTGTTGCCATGTCGGAAGAGTACTTAAAGCTTTTAGCCTGCAGTTGCCGTGCACTCCGCTTCCAGTGGCTTTTGTGTTTTTTCTGTGCGAAATATAGCCGCCTATTGATAAGATTCTGGAGCCATCATAGTCGTTTGGGCTCGCGTTTGTGCTTCCTAGCCTTTTCAGGCCACGGTCCTTTGATAACGGTCGTCTCCTCCGACTTTACTTTTCAATATTTTTCAATCGAAGTGCGCTGAGGCAGGCACCCTACCCCTTATGATTGGGGTACATCATTTAATTCTTCCCTTTATATGTTAGAAAATTTTTCCTACCCTGATGGTTTTCAAAAGAAAAAAATCAATTTAGTTATCATTTGTTCGTCGATATGTAACTATGTCCAACGCGCATTAAAGTCACTTTCACATTTTTATTATGACACATAACGTTTTTTTCCCATTACATTTTTGTGATTTTTGAAAACTCAACAACGAGCGCTCTTACTAAGAACTCTACCTTATAAATACGGCCAAAATGCAAATAAATTGATATGGTTATGAAAGTGTCAGATTTCATGATGTGAGTTTTCATGAAAACTAGTCGATTTTCCAAGAAACAAAATTCTAAAGAACGGGGGAAGCCAAGTGCACATTGATGGCGCGTTAGCTGCGTCATGCAGCTGGCGATTGGCGGAAACATTAACAACAATTGGCAGAAATTTAGCGGAAAAACGGATTAAACTTGTCACGATGTTCAGATAATGATAACTTGCTTGCCAGCATATTTGTGGAACGCAAAGAAGTCAAAAGCGCGTAAGCTCCTCTAAGTAACTTGTAAATAGATCTGCGAAGAATTTTAAATAAAACCCATACCATCCTAAAAACTGCAATTTTGTAGTGCGAATTTAAAAAAGGCGTTGATTATATAACGTAAAAATCATAAAAAGACGGTTTACGTTAAAATATAATTTAAGAAAATGTTCGTATTTTAATTTGTTTCTTCATTTCTTCGTTATGAGTTAATCAGTCTTTGGTTTGCCAATAATAACATCGTCGTAATCGAAACATTTTCATGCCAACATATTTCGAAGTCAATTATATTTTTGTTTGTTGATCAACTCGGAATTATAAGAACCGTTAAGAACGGTTGTTTCGATGCTTTATACAAAGTACAATTTAAACGAGTCAGGCAACACCGACGATTCAAAACCTTACAGCACTTCATTTCTTTATTCACTTATACAGACAGATGTCAAGCCCAGTAAATAGATTCAGCTAAATTACATAAGTGTTATGACCAAGTGGTTAACCTCATTGCAATTGAAGTACAATAAATTCTAAAGCTACGTAATTAACATGTATATATAAAAATAAGCAAGAAAGAAATCACATAAACATGTAGATCAACCACACCCTCAGCAGCTGACATACAACGATTAAGAATGCGTCTCGTGAACAAGTAGTCGCTGTTAGCATACCAAGGCTTAGCTATAATTTAGCGACAATATTAAATGTAATGGCAGCGCGTAGCTCGATAATATTAGCTTAAATCTGACATCAACAGTAGCTCTAATGGGAAACCGAATTCGATAGCGAGATTAGGTTATAAACTTCATTTAGATTTTTGCGGAGCAGGTTGAAAAGCTCATAGCTGAACGTGCATTGGCCAAGTTCTATCAGAAGAAACTTTCTTGACGGGAGGATGGAAGAAACAGTATCTTCGTTATGGAATATGAAAGTTTCGTATCTCATTGTCCTATAAAGATGTGCCTCTCATAGCGATCCTTATACGAAATACAGCTCTCTTTGTCGCAGTAAACACGCCTAAATCTAGCAGAGACACATGGACAGACATAGGAGAGATGGCGAGAAAAGACCAATAAACACGTCTAAACAGATTCAGATAGTGAACGTGAGATGCTCATTGTAAGAAAAAGAAAGCATTTATGTGAAGCCCTCTTTGAGCGTTGCGTACATCAGCAGAATCTTAATGTACTTTCAACATAAACTGTGTAGGGTATATAAAGAAACTCAAAATTATATTTTGCTACCATCAAACTGCAATCACTCAAGCTACAATGAATTTTCATTGATTTTATAATTTTGATACATATATCGCAGAGGGTATGTTAGGTTTATTGAAGGCAAGCGCACAGAATTGCTTAGAGCTATTAGAACACGGGTTACAGAAACATCATATTTTACTATATTCATGTTCATACCAGAGATAGCATACTTACCGTGCTATCATTTTATATTTGATGAAATGAATGCCTTAAAGTGAAAAAAGAAGTAAGAAGCATCTCTTGGGCACCAAAAGATTCGTTCTGAACCAGAGAAATAAGATAACTGTTTTTTTTTTATTTCTTATTATTAATGAGAGATTTAAAGCTTAATTAACTCGCACACTCTGTACGAATGAAACGAATGAATTCATAGATTAAATGAAAAGTCGTCTGAATGCAAAAAAAGTGCAAAAAAAAAATAAATAAATAAACAAACAAATAATTTAAAAATAATTCTCCTCACTCGCTTCACTATAGCATGCGTTTGCCGCACTACCCCACATTTCAAATGAATTTAATTAAACTAAAATCAATTTCAATTTCGATGCCGTTAATATGCGGGCGCCCGGCACTGTACGCACATTTCCTCACTTTCTTACAGTTCGTACGTTTCCAGTAAACGCACAATTTACTTATCAAAAACATTTTCTTTTCTAAAAAGTCGGAAATTTTAAATCGTAATCCATTAATATAACGCGAGATAATTGAAAACGAATGAAAACAAGTGAGACAGTTAAAGTTAAAGTACTCCCTCGAGGTTGTGCGTAGAAATTGCAAATAATTCTCTTAATTATAGTCAATTAGAACTTATTCAGCAGTGGCTTTCATCGACCACTTCTCATGGAGCAATGTGTTTGTGGGTGGGTGCTTCACTCGCATTCTTGCACCCTTGATAAATATTTTCCAATAGCTTTGTCTAATGGATAATTAATGTTACTTAGACCGTTCGCAATTGTAGGCCGATGAGATCCGTTTTTAAGCTCTATCTGAAGCCGTAACTTGGAAAACCATACGCGACAGATTTCATCTTTCTCGATTTATAGCAAGCTGATAGGCCGATAAGCAGCCGCATGGACGGACAAACAAACGTAAAGGATGACAACGATTGAGTGCGTTACGTAGAATATGTGACGCTTATGTCTTGCTGTTGCAAACGACAGGACACCTCTAATACAACTAACTTCTTTCTTTGGTAGTGTGCATAAAATTGGTATTTTTGAAAATGAATATAGCAAATGTTAACTTTGCATTTAACTTCTTATAAGTGTATTTCATCACAATCGAATGAGCGTAGAAAGGCGATTTAAAAACGTTTACTAGACCGCATCGACTTCTTGATGATAAGGAGATTCTGTGCAATCAACATCAATATTATTATCATTTATTTCACTTCACTGTCTTTTCATTGTTCATCTTTGCACACATGTACACAGAGTGCTATTCGCTTAGTTGATCGATGTTTCATGGGATAAAGTATTCGCCTAACTTTTTAAGTAACAACTTTTTTTGGTCCTTCTGCATTTGTCAAGGGGCTCATGGAGATTGTGTTTCCTTGAATTTTGTTATAACAATGTGAGGCTCTTAATTTCCAGACCGTGACTGCTAATCATTTACTTGAAATGAATGCAATATATCATCGATTCACATGCGTCTTTTATTGTTAGTTCAAAAAGAACGGAAGACCACACTGTGGCGAGCTTATCTGTAATACCATGTGAGGTCCGAGAAATACTTGATATCTACGTTAGGAGAGTTGGGCAAGCAGCATGATAGAGACATCCAATCACCAGTCAGAAGGCATTTATTTTATTTACGGCTTAAGTGCTTTAACAATCCTGATGTCGCTAATCCGCTGAATACCGCTAATCGTAAAAAAGAAAACAAGAAAATAGATTATCTTTTATGACTAGTGATCGATTGAAAAACCAAAGTATATTCTTAAGAAGGCCTTGCTTGTTGTTAGAAGGCAGCAAATAACGTTATTACTTATGCCACAGCGAGGTTCATTATAATAGTTTAGCGTTGCAAGATATCTTGGATTGCCGCGACATGGTTAAGCAGAAAACGATCAGCAGATCATCTTGTAGCATTCTCCCTTTTGCTTTACTATAATAATCTTGAGCTGTGAGATACTTTGGGTCGTGTTACTATAGAGCTAAGTTGAGAATGCGAAGGTCTGTGTAGAAAATACGCGCAATGTTCGGACAAGCATTAAATGAATCTGGTAGCGTTTGAGATATCGTAAGGTCGAATACCCGGGCTGCGTACAGTACAGAAGATATCCCGAGCCGATCCTGACCTAATGATTTTATCATAATGTATGCTTGCAAGTATTTTGATCATTTCTGCAGCTGCCGGCCAAGGACAACGAGCTTTGACCTTAGGTAATAATAACATGCTTGTAAAAATGTATATTAATAGAATATTTACGGAAGGCAGAGAAAGAATATTTGAGTTGAGCAGTCGAAAGTATTGCAAGAAAAAAAATAAATTGTGAATAATAAGAAAATAAGAAAAGCGTATTTCATAACAATATATTATAGACTGCGTTATATAGACAAAAATGGTGGATAAACAACATTCGATTGATATAAGCAGTTGCTTAGCCGATCCTCAGGTAAGCGAGCGTCAGTCGTCCATAATTTATACTTTAATCTGGCTTAGCTAATTCTCTTTACAGATACAACTAAGCAATGCCTTAGCTACACGAAATGTACGAGATTTTCGCATTGCTTTAGATATGGGAGCTGAAGCTATTTTAGCAGACCAGCATCATGGCAATATTTATGAGAAGGCTTTGGCAACTTACGGTTGCGCTGAGTTTGTCGAGGAATGTCTGAAAAGAGGTTGTAGTCCACATCATGTGAGTTTAAAGAAATGCTGCCATCAAAGTTTCACATTTAATCATCTATCTGCTCTTAGGTGAATAAACATTTTGACAAAGCGGCCATTAGCTATGCCAGTGATTCCCGTGATCCTCACATTCTTATGTCGTTATTGAAATATGAAGGCGTACAAGTAGATCGAAAATATGCGGAACTAACCCCTTTGAACTCCTTAGCTAAAGGTCTTAATGCGGACAATGTAAACGATGTGATTGCGTGCTTAAAGCTATTACTCAATTATGGAGCCTCTCCTAACATACCCGATCAGAGAGAAATGACTGCCTTACATTATGTGGTAAAAAATCGTAAAATCGACGATAATAAAAAACGTGAAATTGTTCAATTGTTTTTCGAGAGACACGATTTAGATATTGATACGTATCGTGACGGCGAATTACGGCAATTATTGCAGCATGAATTTTCCGATTTGCAATTACCCGAAATTCGTAATAATAAATTAATAGATATGGAGGTATTGTTGTGCTATATACGTGCAGGTGATATGGAAAAATTTTTGCAGCACTTTCCTGAATATCAATTAAATATATCGGATAAGGACAACCTACGTAATACGGCGCAAGAGCAATATCTGCCATTGCTTATTGAATGCATTCAGAAGGGAGCTCATGCCGCCTTTGACGTTTTATTAGGCAAAAATTTAAACGTTAACGCTGTATGGGAGAACAGCAACGCTTTAGAAGTCGCAGCTATCTGGGGTAATTGGTATGCATTGCAAAAGCTCTTGGATCATCCGGATTTAAAATTGCGACGTGATGATCACCCTTTAATTACTGTTATATGCAAAATGAGTGAAGATCCTTTACAGGCGTTTTGCGACTATCGCAAGTGTTTCTACGTATTGATAGAGTCTGAGAAAGTGAATATTAATGAAAAAGATGACAGTGGCTCTACGCCATTACATTACGCTGTCAAATATCGCAACAACGAAGCTATAAGAGAGCTATTAAGAAGAGGCAGTTATATAGGAGCGAAAAGCTGCTTTAACGACCTATCTATCGATGGCGTGAGCCCTGAACTATTAGAGGAACACTTTGATAATTGCATAACCTCAAATAATCGGAAGTTGGGAGATAAAAACTTTGAAATTATCATCAACTATATGAATCTCTTGCCACGGCTAGAAGTGTCTTCGTCTAAGATGCCAGTGAAACAATTGCGAGATGAAATGGCTCCTATAGCATTTATAGCCAAATCAAAAGAACATCGCCATCTACTGCAACATCCTCTCATTACCAGTTATTTGTTTCTTAAATGGCATCGCCTCTCGGTCGTCTTTTTTGTAAATTTTTTAATGTATGTCTTCTTTGCTGTTTCTATTATCACACACACTATTCTGAAATTTCGTGAGAGTGAGTATGAGGCAGTGACAGCCCTTTTTGGTCTGTTTTCTTGGATTGGTATTATCTACATGATTCTGCGGGAATGTACGCAAATGATCATGTCACCTTTATGCTATTTTCGCTCGCTGGCCAACTACATGGAATTGGCCTTGATCGGACTATCGATTGTAACATGCAGCGAACCCACTTATGATAAAGAGACTCAGCGAGTAATTGCCGTTTTTACTATGCTTTTGATAGCAATAGAACTGTGCCTCTTAGTAGGCTCCTTACCCGTCTTGTCCATTTCGACACATATGTTAATGTTGGATGCTGTGTGCCGTAGTTTTTTGAAAAGTTTTGCGCTCTACTCAATTTTTGTGATCACGTTCAGTTTATGTTTTTATATACTGTTTGGCAAGCCTGAAATGAACCCAAAAGAGCCTACCGCTTCTAATGAGGATAACGGGGAATTTAACAAATTTACTAATCCCTTGACGGCTTTAATCAAAACCATTGTTATGCTTACCGGCGAGTTCGATGCCGGCGATCTAGAGTTTGATTCTCTTTACAATTACTTACTGTTTTTACTCTTCGTCTTTTTCATGACCATTGTATTGCTTAATTTGCTAAATGGTCTGGCAGTTAGCGATACGCAGGTAAAAATAATTTTAAATAATACCTTGTTTTGATTTTCTATAAACTGTTTGTTTCTTTAAATAGGCCATTAAAGGACAGGCCGAACTAAATGGCTCGATATGTCGAACTAATCTTTTAACACGTTATGAAAAAGTTTTAACTGGTCGTGCAGACGGAGCCAGTTTTATAGTTAACCATGAACCTTTCCGCTCTATATGCCGTCGTCTAACGAATTTATATCCCAACTATTTAGCGGGTCGACAAATTGCAATATTACCTAACGATAATAATAAGGTTTTGATACCGACAAGTAGCATTTTCGAATTGAAAGAAGTGGACAACTCCTTAGCGTGCTTTTTACCGCTAAGCGATAATGATCATGATAAACAAAAGAAACTATTAGATCCGCCGGTAAGGTTTCTACCTTGCTGCTGTTCTTGCATAACCGGTAGTTGTTCTAAAATGGATGTCCGTACGGTTAAGATGGCGTTGACAGTTATCGAGAAAAAAGCGAGTGCAATAAGAACGCAACTGCACTTGAAAACCACTGAAAAACGTTTGCAAAATATTGAACAAAAACTGGAAAAAATATTCGAAATTTTGCAGGATTCAAAAATAAAATAAAAAAATGCAGATTCGTGGTATTAAGAAGTATTATTTCTACGCGTTACATTACAAACAAAAAAGAAGAAGAGAATTTATTAATAAAATGATGAAAATTTATTTTAAATAACAAAAAAACATTTTTTTTTTTAAATATTAATAAACAATGGTATTATTTTTTACTCGAAAAATTTTGTATATTTATTGTATGAACGGAGAATTTAATGATCGACAAGGACGCAAACAGCGAAATGAGCGAACATCATGCTTTCTGCAGACAACAACCATTGAAATAAAACTTTACTCCAAAGAAAATAATTTCCATATGGCAATGCTGTTATCACAGTTTAGTTGCACGTTGCTATATTCTTTATCATATTAATATATTCATAAACTCGCACGAACACTAGTAATAATCAATGAAATGCAGTTGAAACATAAAGCGTCGACTTGTTATAGCATAAAATGTACAAAATTGCTTATCAAGAGACAGCATGTTACGCAGCATCGTAGGCAGTCAATTTCTTGGCTATGGTACTCCGCCATATTACGATCTGAACCCTTTTTTATATCGCGATTTTTATTGCACCGAAGTATATCAGTGTACAAATCTCATCATAAATTATGGACTGCACGTTGAACAGAAGAATAAAAATCGGACAGACGGGCAGACCAAGTTAGAACCTCTTCCACAATCAAGTGATTTAACTAAAGATACGCTTATTTTAACTTGTTCTGCGTTTTGCAAGCATTTTCACTTGTACTCAAGAGCTATTGAGTGCTTTTACAGGAATTTAGAAATTCTTAATAAATTGCGGATCGATCTATGAGCTATATATAGTAAACAATGTTAGTGCTCTACCTTATGACTTGAGCGGCATGAGAAAGAAGCTGAAGAGAAGCCTGTAAGTAAGAACAACAACGAACTGTTTATATTCAAATAATTTTTACTTGTAATTTTTTTAATTTACAAAAAATATTTAATTTTATTTTGGTTTAATACCACAAAACAACCAAAACCGGTTAATATCCACAATATATAATATACAATATTAACATATACAACTGTTACACATACATATAAATATAATTATCCATATAAAACATTTATTCTTAGATATTTATGAAATCGTCTTAAAAATACTTTTCAAAAATCATCCCCGATTACAGTCAACTGTAGTTCAATTTCAATTATTATTAGAGATTTGCTAAACTAATGCTAATTTATAATTTTAAAGAAACACTTTTTCCCTTTTTATGGAAATCGGAGATGCAGTTTCTGCTTCGAAAATTTTATTATGGAATGTCTCGAGAATTTCGTTATTAGTACACATTTATTGATCCGTTTAAAAAACACTTAAATGTTTATATGCAAGAATGTTAACATTATGCTAAAGCAATATTTCTAAAAGTAAAATTGTGCCTATTTTTTAAAAAAGAAGCCTTTGTCAAAACGGAATGGTTTTCTTTTATGTCACACATCAATTGTTTTATTTATAATAGCCAAAGCTCTATTAAATCTAAAAGTATTTGTCGGTCAGTAAGCTCGTTCGCAATTGTTGGCGCAATTAAACTATCGTTGAAATCGTGAAGCAAATATATTGCTCTGGTCATTTGAATCTCGATAAGAGTCTAGACATGCCTGTCAGCACTTTCGTCGCAAAGTCAAAAGGCATGCTTTCATTTCAACTTGTTCTTATGGGCTTAGTAAGGCAGACTATAGAGATTTGAAATCTACTCCAAGTTGAACCCTTTATGTATGTTCTCTAGGCAAACTAGCATTTACCTTGTACTATACAAATATGTATATGTCAAGTTCACCTCAATAATAAATATTTGGCTTGATCGAAAAGTCACGAGAATCGTCGCCCCCAAGCCGAAAGCTATGCTTTTATTTCATTTTATTCTAATCGAAAGTCTATGCAGATTAGAAACTTACTCCAAATTGAACTTATATTTACTAGGCAAGTGAAATTCTCTTGCATTTATATGTAATTTGTTAAATTTGGTTCACTCATATTTACGGTTTGATCGAAATGACGTTCGTGAAAGAATATCATAAAAGAATATCACTTATTAGGGTGTGAAAGTAGCAATGTTAAAGAGGATACTGATCAAATCAGAATTTCACAATTTCAGATTTTTCAACTTGAAATCAAAAATTTGTCTAAATTTTCTAAAAATTGACCACAACCAATCTATTCTTTAAACACATCTCCTTACGACGTGTTCTCACTTGCTAAGCTCAAATAGGTACGCAAAAGAAACGGTTTTTTCTCAGCAAACATATGTATATATATATATATACATAAGAGGTGCGATTTTTCAAATTTCGTAGGCTACAAGCATTCGATTTTCGAATTTTTTTTTGTTATGTTGGTACACATGTCCCCGGCGTATGTTTGCTACAAGAGCGATTTTGTATTTTTAGTTTTTTGTTGGCAGATACAAAGGTTATACAAAGGTGTTATCATGTGCTGGGGAGTTTTTTGCTATCCAACCAAACGGATCAAACAGTCTGCATTAAGGTGTGTCTGAAAAGTAAAGGTAAATGCTTCAACTCACTTAAAATATTGAGTGTGGCATTTGGCGAGTCTATCTCTATAAGTTTATAAGTGGTACAAGCAGCGAAAATAATTGTTATGGAGGATCATTATTAGAGAAATTGCTGAGTATGCTGGCAGGTCGGTTGGTTCGTGGTATACAATTTTCTCGGATGCTTTGGGCATGGAATGTGTGGCAGCGAAGTTTGTTTCGAAATTCCTATATGTTGACTTGGCTTGGTCACAATTTTTTGACTACCGGACTTAGCCCACTACGACTTTTTTCCTGTTTCCGAAACTGGAACGATCCATGAAAGGACGGAGTTTAGCCACGATTAAAAAGATAGAGACTGCCTGGCTGGAACAGCTCAAGCCCACACTAAAGAACGCATATCAGAAGTGGTTGGGGGATGGGAAAAAGCGCCAACGCAGTTGTATTACATCAAAAGGTATTACTTTGAAGGGGACAAAATAGATATCGATGAATGCATAGATATTTTTCCAGAAATATCAAAAATCATCTTTTTTTTACCAAATCTCGTGTATATAGAAAGCTGAGCTAATAAATTAAACTCAAAATAATATCCAGGATATCGTTCAGTCAATGTGTCTCAAAATGGAAAATGGCCTTAATAATGTAACATGATGGGGAAGGTAGTTAGTTGAAGAGGATGGGGGTTAATTTTAATAACAAACCCTACTGTTGCTCTAATACTGCTCCTTTCTTATTATTATCATAAGTAGATTAAAGAGCCATAATAATTTTTTTTTTAATAATTTTCCCTTTTGTCCCAACAAATTTGTGCGTTTTATCTAAGATTACTTTTTTTGTCCTCTCGGTCTTTTGCTTTTTGTAACATGGAAAAATGTTTAATTAAAAATATATTCTACCTTTGACGATAGTCTTGGAAAGGAAAATGTTTTATTGTTATAAAAACATAAATAAAACGAATAAAATAAAATACTGTATTTCGACCTTTTCATGGTGAGCGTTCTTTTGAGATTTCTCCTTGTCTTCCATTTTATTTTTACGAGCATATTCCATTAAAAGATAACGAAGCCATTTAGAACAAAGCTTAAATTTCAATATTTGCAATTATTTGTTCTATCTTTCTTGTCCTGATTTTTTGTGTTTTTTTTTTTTCTTTTTTTTCTTCATTTTGCTCTTTTACACTCCTGTTTTCCTAGAACAATCAATCTACATAAATATAGATATGTATTCATGTGCAAGCGTGTGCGTGTGTTTAACAGTATCTATATTGCGTACAGCATATTAGTGTTGCTGGTCTATGGTTTCAAATATCGACTTTTTATCGAGCAAAACTAATCATTCAAATGTTCTTTTTTTGGTTTGTTTTTTTTTTTTTTTGTTTTTTGTTTTTTCTAGTTTTCCTCTTTTGTGTTCTTTAAGTTTCCTCGTTGTCATATTCTATTGCCATCAATTAAATCCTTCAGGTCATTGTGCATGAATGTCTTTTTAAGCCACTACGATACGAAGGACTTTTAGTCTTACCCCCTGTACTAAACGATGGCAATGATTGGCGTCTCCGTCGTACCGCCGGACTTAGATTGTAGCGTATGTTCGCTTGTACTAAAAGTTCTTTGAATATCTCCAATATGCCGCGATTCTCTTTAGCCGAACATTCAACATAACCGCATTGCCAATCTTCGCAAACAACCATTTCTGTTACTTCATGTTCCACCTGACGCTCGCACGTGTCAACTTTATTACCCACCACAACGATAGGAGGCTTAATGCCTTTCTCCGTGATGATCTAGAAATAAAAAGCAAAAAGAAAGAATAGAGCAAAGGAATTATATTCAGCTCGAACCGAATTGTGGAATGGCCACGACTTTCTCAAGAAACATATAGCCTCTGTGTGTTGAAAATAAGCAACTTGTACTGAAACTGCAACATAATGTAAAGAACAAAATTGCTTACAAAACACAAGCATTCAGTCAACTGAATATACCCTAAGAGCATTTTAAACAAGTAAGAAAATTATATTCGGCCACGACCGAATCTTTTATACCGATCTCAAAACAGGTACGAAGAAAAGGGCAAAAGTTAAATTTTCATATATATTACGTGGGCGTGGCTAATTTTTTCAATTTCCATCAAATGAAAGTGGAAATTTGTATCGTGCATCTGTTGCAGTTTATGGACAACAACTTCAGAAAGCCGGGATGTACTCAGTCCGTAAAAGAACTCGCGCATAGTACGATATAAGAGATTGTCGTTGTGCCGAATTGGCCCATTTGCATTATCGCACTGCATGTAACGGCTTCCATTGGTTTTGCCAGATTTGAAGCCGATATCTCCTTTTTTACTATAATGAGTACCTTTACCATAGCAATTAGCAGCCAGATGGACGGACGGCTGTTTTTTGATAAAAGAATGGAACTTTAATATTATATAATATTGAGTAGGCGTGATCAATTTTTTGAAATTTTTGTTCAGGTGCTGGAGATTATCCATAAATGCAAGTTTGGACCCATTATGGTTTATAAGCAAAGAGCTAAAAAGCACATTTATTTTTTCTTTGTTCTCAGATTGTACAGTGGGCGTGTGTTTCGGCTAATTCGGTTCAATTTCAATATCTATCTGCGTGCATGAACTTTGAATCCAAATTTCAAGCTGATTGGTGCATTTTTGCGACCAGGAGTATTTTTACAGTAGACAGACAGACGGACATACCTAAAACGGTTTGGAACTTGATGTTGATCAAGAATCTATATATATTAGAGGCTTCCTTCCGAGTGTTGCAGACGCTTTGACGAAACGAATTTACCCCTTATCCCTCGATAATTGGTATAATAACATAAGATGGATATATAAATATATAGACAGGTAACATTGAAGACAGATATTTAATTTTTAGATTTTTATCGTAGCTTGTCCATAATAAAGCAATCTAGGTGATGAAACTAAACAGAATGAAATCGTACTCTATTTCTCTTCTTCCGCATACAAAGGCTTAAGCTTGCAGACGAGTTGAGTGTATAGCCAGGTAGACAAATAAAAAAAGAGATAAGATTAAAGTGATTCAGCTGTTCAATTGCATGTATATTTTGTGCATAAAGTACCCGGAATCGTTTTTTTTTGGCTTCAAAGTAAGTCTGATATCTTTGCTTACGGCATACTCTTCGCACACCCAATGGCTAAGATCATTTAGATAATTCTTTTTGTACCTTTCCTTGACCTCAAATACCTTGCTCGAAGAAGAGAATTTTTGATATAGAAACAAGAAAAAGGTCAGTACAGTCGTACAGCATCAGTGGACAACGCATGTCTCGTCCGTAATTTCTAAAGAATACTAATATCTCGCTTGTAAGTGAAAGTCAAGAAGTCTTTGATATGGACACGTGAAAAAATCAGACATAGCCCTATAATATCAGGCAACAATCCTATCCCTAGTTTGGATAATCTTGACCCAGCTGCAATCTCACTTGATATCATTTTTGTTGAAAGACATGCCTTTAGTTTTTCATTTAAAAAAAAAAGAGAGAGAGGAAAAAATTTCGTTTGCATTTTCCCAAGTATTTGTCAATTCCTATCCCTTTGCAAAGCCATATGTGTGCGAATGTTACGGTTGTCTTTCAACCTTCTTGTGTTGTTTTTCCTTTCTTATGCTTCTAAACTTACCTGGTTACGCAATCGTTCGACCTCATGCCAAGATTCAATATCATCGACGGCATATACTAATATAAATGCTACACCGGTAGCTATTGACAGCGTACGCATAGCTGGAAATTCGAAAGCACCCGACGTATCAAGTATATCGAGCGTTAGTGCCGAACCGTCTGGTAAATCGTACTCTCCACGGTGCAATTCCTCAACAGTTTTCTTATAGCGTACATTAAATTTATCGTATAAAAATTGTGAAATGATGCAACTTTTGCCAACACGAGCTGCTCCCATGACAACGATGCGATGCTGCTGTTTGCGTATCAATTGCGTACTTGAATGTGCAGCTGTGGCGCATTTATCCCTTGTTGCATTGCTGCCACTGCTGCTGCCGCTGCTAGGGTAGTCGGCACTATTGGCACGAGTCGACTTTAATACTGATGTCAGCGATGGTAAACGTATACGTTGACAAGATCCCGGCATTATGTGCAGCGCAATGAATTTTTTTAAACAAAATAAAATGTTCAATATTTTTATGCAAAAGTCTTTTTTAAATATTTCTTCTTTACGGGAAAACTTTATTTATTTTCTTTCTCTCGTCCGCAAAGTGTTGTCGATAACAAGGTATTAATATTATTATTGTTGTCTATTATTGTACTATATTGTGTCGCGCGCGGTGTAGATGTTCTGCTATTCTGTTTTTTTATCACTCCTTCTCGCTCTCTCTTGCTCGCCGCGTCAAGTTACAACGCTTCAGTCGTTGGGAATTAAAGGATTTTCGCTGTAAACAAACAGATAGAAGTGTAAAAGTTATCGAAGAGCACAACATAAGATTTGTTTTTCTTAACGAAGCAACATAATACAGTTGTATTACACAGGATTATCGAGATATAAAAGGAATTTGTTTTCAAATTTAAAAAGAAAGTCATGTTCGCTTCAGGGAAAATCTTGGCTATCCACCATCAAGCTGAAGCATTATAAAAGTGTTTTTTATTTATTTAGTTTTTTTTTTTTCATTAACAAACGTTATACTATCTGTGGTGCGATGCAGGAGAATCGTAAAATTCTCAAGTCGCGAAAAATAAGAGGCACACAACACCACAAAAAAGTTTCTCACATTTTGGTTTCTATCTAACCCCTATTGACTAGAAAATCTCAATTTGAGGACTACCACTAACGACACCCCGTCCTATGAATCACTTCAGACCAGCATTAAGTTTCCCTTATTTACTATATGCAAATATATTAGATTGCTTGGAAATTCATTGTAGAGTATAATTGAACTTCTCCGGCGCTTTGTTTGCTCCTTTTGAAATTGTATTAAATCTTTTTATATATAGTTTTTTTTTTACTTTTGAATTCAATTTTCCAAAAGTGAATTTATCGCCCTGCGATAAACATTTTTATACCTGTCACGGAAGTATGAGGAGAGGCATATACATTTTGTCAAAACGTTTGCAACGTCCAGAAGAAAACTTCAGAGACCCCCCCCCCCCCCACAAAGTATGTATATTCTTGATCAGCATCAAATTCTGAATCGATTTAAGCATGTTTGTCTGCCCGTCTGCATTAATGTCCGTGGTAAACATCCTCCTGGCCACAAAAATGAAGCTGTCGACTTCAACTTTGACAGAAACCATAGAAGTTCTTGCACGCTGGTTGGTATTCAAAATGCGCCTCCTTGGTCGAGGGAAAAGGCGACTTTAGTACAGCGGATGAATCTACAAAAATTTGGGCGTATATTCTGTGAGCGACATTGCAATATCTGCAGTGCAATGGGAAAAATCAGCCACGCCTACTTAATTTTATAGTGTCATAATATTTTTTCAAAATTTTTGCAACGCAAAGAAGCTGGTTTCGAAAGCCCCACAAAGTATATGGCCAGTTTCAAATTCGGGATTCATGGTCGTCCATCTGTCCGTCTGCGCAATTTTGTAATATCTGTGATATAAATTCTCATCTTCGCAAAAATTATGATATTGCTTTCAAACTTGCAAAATTTGGACACACAGGTCTAAAAAATCGAACACGCCCAACACGTCCAACGTTATATAGTATGAAATTTTTTCTTTTTTTTTACGACCGTGTATAATTTTCTTAGTTGTTTTTTTTTTTAATTGATATCAGACTTTATTTTTTTTCTTTAAGACATGAAGAGCTACTTTTTTCTGGAATTAAAACAAATTTAATTTAGTTTTTTGGCAGACAGACAAATGGGCAGACGTCTCTAAAGCAAATGACTACCGCGTCCACTGGGCGATGGCTACCGCAAAGCATGATAGTACGTGAAGTGAATAATGCTTCGTTAATTGTCACTTAAGGTAGAATCATCGCCTTGATGGCAGAAATATGTTAGCTATTGGGTTGCTAGCTTGAGCTCATTGGCATGCAAATACTCCTGCATATCTCTTGCAAGAAGTGTGACAAAATATCCGCTTTTCTACACCCAGTCAACAATCTAATCATCTAGTGTACAATCAAACCCGTCAGGAAACTCTTCGAAGGTCAATTTCCAGTCTTTAAATATTCTGCCTACTAATAATATTCAATTATGTGCAAATGATGTGTAATATGAATAACCCCAGCAAATATCGATTCATCAATAAATGCCATTGATTGTAAAGAAAGGAAACAAATTATTCTTCTCTCAAATTGTTTCTTATGGTCTTTGCGATTGCTAGGAAAAGACATGGCCATTCTTAACCGAAGGCGAGAGGAAACTATCTGGCGGAGAATAATCGAGTGTCGAATCTTTGTTTAACCCTTTCGCAAAGTAGTAACTCTTAGGTATCTAATGCTCATCTCAGCCAAATATTAGTTTTTAAGGCTCGAGTAGAAAATATAGCTCTCCTCGAGAGACTTCTATCAGAGAATGACTATAAGGTAGAAAAACTTTTTTATATATAACACGTAACGATAGTTTCTTTACGAAAACGTCTCTTACCAATAGATAAACTTCGTAAGGTTTTTAATGGTATTACGAACGGAATTAATATACGTCGACTTTCTCTAACTGGTGAAGTTAACAGACTATAATTTACATAATTTCTTTTATAGTCCATTTTTCTAAACTATTAAAAGTTTACGTAGCCTTTCTAACGAATCTAATGCAAATTCTTCATCTTCGTATAATAATGATATTTACTACTCGTCAATTTTAAGCATATCGAAAAGGTACTAACAACTTCTATGCTTGTGTTAACTTATTGAGAATCGTCATCACTTTCTTTAATAGCAGACCTACGACACATAAAATAATAATCAAATCGTTTCTCTTTTGCTCACCATGTACAGACGCAACTTTCATGTTGCCTTCCTCGATGATTTGCAATGACAGGGTGCCATCATCATCAGCATCATCATCATCATTTTCTCGCTCGCGCATAAAGACACGAATACAAATTCCTATCATTTTTACACTTTATTCTTTATTTTATAGTAATCTTACACTTGCATATATATAAAGATATATATATATATATATATTTGTATGCATACATATATTTATGCCTGCGTCGTACACATTGCAATTTATGTTTAACTGCTACACAATGATCTTTCGGTTTTTTTTTTTTTTCACTTTAATAATACATTTACCAGAATTAGTATCGTTTGCTTTCAATACGACATGACCTGACCTCCTATTGGCTTTAACATTGAAAGTGATTTTTTAGCACAACGGGAAGTTATACTGATATAACTACCGGATATTGGGATATTATTAATGATAGAGACTCGTAGAATGCAGAAACTAATTTCTAAAAAGAAAAGCAAAATTAAAAACCACTTACGCTCAATTTCGCACTGCTCAAATAATGATTCAATGAATGTCTACTAAGAGAAGTTTCGCAGAACAGAAGGAAGCTTTGAAACAAATCCTTTGGAAAATTGCTTAACAAAAATATTCCATGCGTAAGCGGCTTGAAAAATTATTATAACGAATTATTTTAAATGAAGTCTTTAACATAAAAAGAATTTTTACACTGTACAGCACTTCTGGTACAGGTAAGGGTATATTAAATTTGTTCAAATTTATGGATTCTGCATTAGGCCGGACTTGAGATAGACCAGCCGCTAGATGCCTTGAAATAGACCAACTAACCATGTCTGTCCGTCTTGCTTACCTGTAGTTAACCCATAGGCCGCAGTTCTTGAGATATTTTCATAATATATTGTACACTGATATGTGTTGGCCCACGGACGAATGCTATTGAAAATGTCTCGGTTCTGACCGTTTTTTGGATCACTTCCCATACAACGCCTTATTTTGAAAAGTCGTTTTATGAATAATTGCAGGATAACGTACGGTATTAAATCGCCGCCGTGGCTCATTTGAATAATTTTACTGCTTTTGAGGTAATTTCTAACAGTACAGTCGTCACACGTGTTACACAGTTAATTCGTACGAAAAATTAGTTTTCATCAAATATTATAGGTAATCTATTTATTTTTTACAAGGTTGCTTCAAACTCGTCTTCATTAGCTTTTTCTCTATCGTTGCATAGGTTATCTAACGTAGTTGCACATGTATGTGACTTTTTCAAATTGTTTTCTATTAAAAGCATGTCGCAAATGGTATACCACGTTGTATCGAAATCGAGTTTATATACCGCGTTATACGATGGAAGCCTGTTCGCCAATGCAGCGCATTGAAATACGCCACCACGACCTCCTACACTATGCAATAGATCAATGAAAAAATTTGTTCTGTTTTTCTCAATAGACAGCTTTAGGCAGAGCCGCGTCACTATAACAACACTGGCCTTATTAACACACACTACTACAAATACGTGTATACTCTATAGAAAATTAAGCAAAAAACAAATTATTGCGATATTTGTTATTTCAATCTGCAGTAATTCCTTAAAAATTCGTAAACATTCTCGTGGCGATAGTGCTTTGCAGCCTTGTAAAAATGTTTGCAATGTTTATTGGAAAAATGCTTTATCGAAAGCGGCAGCATGCAAAGAACTTACTGGTTCCCGCTCTGGAAATGTCCGTGTTAAACACTCAACGATGGGTGCGTTTTGGTCGAGCAATCTTTAACAATGTCGCCGAAATGCTACGAAAAATTGGAGGAGACTGGCCTTCCATTGACCAAGGAACAGTTGTGAACCATTTGCTTGATGTTATGAATTAACAGAATCAAGGGACTTTCGCAGACCTCTCTTGAGGAAGCATTACACGATTAAGACAGTTCTCCGGATAGGGGATAGATGCTCCACAATCTCCTGACAGACGGACGATTAATTCTAGATTCTTTAAGTCAATTCGGCCGTGTAATTGCATTAAAGGTAAGCAGTAGTAATAAACGGAATTCATAGTATAGCATAGAATTTAAGCGCATCCGTCTGTCCGTCTGTGCAGTGTCTGTTGTAAATATTCTACTTGCCGCAAAAAATTACAAAAGTTACTTACTGGACTGAGTCTGCTTCATTTCATTCATTACAAGCTTGCTCGCGATAGATGATTAAAAATTCATTTAATGTCGAATACGTCTCTTTAAATTGTCATTTATTTTAATTGTTTGCATCCTTTCTTCCTAAATTTTCCTGTTTTATTAAATAAATTTATTCAACATATTTCTAATCAAAATAATATTATAATTAAGAAACTCAAGAAATCCCGTAAAATCGCATGAAAAAGTTTTCCCTCATTATAAATCAAGGTTTTTCAAACATTTGCTTCTATCATTTCATAATTTATTCGCACACACATTTATATGCACTTGTGTTGAAATGAGTTTATTGCCAGTCGTTTGTGTGATTCTACAGCGTTTTACTCTGCTGCTATCTTCTCAATACGCATTGTACGTTTTACAAAATGTATTCACAGAAAAATGAAAAGTTGACTTATTTTGAAGCACAAAAAAAAAAAAAAATTGAAAAAAAAATTAAAGATAATTCTATAAGGTAATCAAATGGTCCTGCAGAGTAAGCTATTAGCGCAGAAGTTGGGTGTATAAGATTTGTCGTTGCTTTTGTAATACATAGAGATTCCTCAGAGTATATCAATATGATTATGTAAACCTTAAGTATGTAGCTATTAATCAATTTATCCTTTTATGCCTACTGTAAGACTTAATAAATATTCCCTCACAGCCTTCCAAATTTTTTGGGTACCGGTCATTTACCTCAAAAATACGCATGAAGAAAAGCCCTGCCAAAAACCCCGCTATGAAATAACACTACCTTAAATCCACTTATATATATAATGTGTGTGACCACTACGATAGAGTCGCTTTTCTAAAGTTATTCAAAATTTGCAAAACGAAAAGAAAAAAAAATCTTGTTGTACATCAAAGAACTTTTTTAGATTCTTTAAAATGGAGGCGAGGTCACTCTCGAAAAATTATGTTTTTTCCGATTGGCTTCCGATCGTGCTGCTATATGTAACAATATTGCGCCCATTAATACATATATTGTAAGTCATTCAAAAAAAAAAAAAAAAAGATGTTCGCAAGAGAAACTTATTTTGAAATTGCCATTCGAATATCATAGCAATCAACGTGCAATGAAAAGTGGCTGCAAAAAGTACTCCGACCATTTTCAACACATTTCATTGAAACATACAGAAAAGCCAATCTGTGTCACTTACAATCAATCATGTTCTGAACAGATCGGTTTGTCCTGTTACACGAGGCACGACTTGGATCCCTTCTGCGGAAGAGAGATTCACGGGATATTAGTTTAATTTTTTCACAGTAATTCGTTTGGCCACAGTAAACTAAGAAAACTTTTGTATTTCGAACTGAACAAAACTCTGGAAAAGTTCTATTTTACCATATTTTGATTTAAAATCTGCCGAGACTTAGCTGAATAGAACTCGATTGATGCCTTAACAGGGCACTGTTACATATTTTGGTTTGTGGCTTTGCTGGTTATATTTAAATATCGCATCCTAATACGTTTCTTTGAGATAATCAATCTATCAGTCTATCTAGCTATCAAAGGCGTCTTCTAAAGCGAATATCACTTTTTTACTTTTTTTACTTTAGAAGAGCTTTCCAAATGATTGACGCAATCTATAAGCACAGCATAAATATTAAATTTTTAAAAATTTCCCTATATCCTCCACCCATACTAAATTTGTGCTATTATATGGAAAGCACTTAAAAGGGACCAACCAGCGAAATTTAGGTCGATTCAGAGTCACTTTCAGAAATCAGTTTCAGGCAATATAGGATTGTCTACTACGGTTTTTTTCATTTTGCATAGATTGGCGTAAGCAAGGTTCCTTGAAGATTCGTATAATTTACGAATTTTAATAGATTATGAAATAACATCAATTATTTAATTCATATTAAGGATTTTTAAAAAATCGTCTTTGCTTTATGTATTTACTTTCATTTTATTAATTCACTTACCTTTTTGTAAGTTCACGCTCTCCTCTATTTATATGAAATTCTTTAATTGCTTGTACTCTTAATATTATTAAATGTCTTTTTTGTTTACTTTTTTTATAGATATAGAATAAAATATTATTTTACTTGTAAGTAATTTTCTGGAATTTATTGTACTTGACACTTGATGATATCAATTTCCGTTTGAAATATTCAACAATTTGCCACTTGTTTGCTTTGTTAATGGCTGGCGCACTGACAGACAAGACCAGAAAAAGAGCGCAACTTTTTTTTTTTTTTTTTTTTTTTTTTTTTTTGTTATGCCGTAATATATATATATGTTTTTTATATATAGCAAAAGAATAAAATAATTTTTTTTTATTGCATTAAAGCCAGTAAGAGAAAGCCAGAAAACGCCAAAACGCCAAAATTGACTGCGAGTTATAGCCAGAAAACAGTTCATTTTATACAGTTATAAACAGATAATCACAACAACAAACTGTTCTCAATTTCTCTTTCTTCAATTCTCGGTTTGTTCCGCTACTTCTCTCTCTCTCTCTCTCTCTTTCTCTCGTAGGTACGCGGGAAAAAGCAAAAAAAAATTCTCTTTCGAGCAAAAACAGTGAAAGTAATCTGTTGCTTTCCTTTTGTCCTTCCGAGTCTCTAACCTACGTGACATTGACATTGTAGCACATTGTCTGCACGTTACTCGTCATTTTTTTTCCACTTTTACTAAACTTTTACGGTTGTTTTTATGTCTGTTGCTTACATATAAATGCAGACGTATTGTATGTATAGCAGGATATCTCACTAATTTTCGTAATGCATTAACTGTTCGAAGTGCTTCTGTTTTTTATTAAATTAATTTAAAAAAAGAAGAAGAAAAAAAATTTATGTTTGCGTGTGAAAATCGTTTGGTTTTTCTACATTGTTCTCGGTGTGTTCGTTATAATCTATCACAACAACAATGCGGATGCATGCGACGTTCAGAAGAACTTAAGACGAAGCCACCTTTTATTTATCAAACGATTTAGACGAAAATTCTGAATCGTTTCAAACTTGTCAGACCGTCTGTCCGTCAAGCTAGCTACCTTGTATTCCAATTACAGCCCACAATTTCTGAGATATTTTGACGAAATTTCATACCCAGACACGAGGACTTTCCACCACCAACTTTTTTCCATATAACGCTTTATTGCGAAAAGTTCTTGTATGAATAACTATAGAATGCTATAAAATATTTAATGGTGACCCATGGCCCATTATTGTGCTTGTGCGTATGATTAAAAATTTTCCTAAAATTATAAAATAAAAGGCACGTAGCAAAGGCATCCAAACAACATTTGCAAGAACATTATCTTTCAATATATGCGTACTTTTCCATGCCATATCCATATAATTTTTTTTCTTGTTGTTGTATACTTTTCAGTTTACAAATTCAATTTCGGTAGACTTTGTGTCAATAACGGCGCATACACGCATAATAATGAAAACGAAAAGGAAAACAAACGAATTGCGTAACAAAATAATTGATTGATGATAGTAGAAAGAGTAAGACACTGTTTGCTCTTCGCCTTCACATTTTCAACTGATTTCAATTCAATGCAATTTAATTATGATTGTTGATGTTGATGATGATGATGATGATGATGATGATGTGCATTTTTTAAATGACTCTTTAAATCTGGACAATTCTACGTCTATACTTTAGTTGACCTAATTTAAATGAAGAAATCTAAGAATGAAACCTTGATCGAGTATCAATCTTCACTTTAATGCTCATCTATTGTTTTTATTATTTGATTAACATGCCTTCCTTTCCAACACGTCTTAGATTTGTAACGATTTATAATTTAAGTTAAGAGGAATAAAATGAACGGAATAGTGCAAATCCATTAAGTCTTTCCGTAAGACTCAAGTGCTCATATTGCGCAACAATTTGCAGTAAATAAACAGAATTTCAAGGAGAATTCAAAGAAAAATAATTAAAAAGTTTTTTTTCGAATTTTCAAACTTGAATAAAAAAAGCAAAAATATTTTTTTCAATCTTGTTTTCTTTCTTGTTGTACTTCTTTCTGTATAAATAAGAGCGACTTAATGTAACAAAAACAAAACGTGACTGATTTGCTAATGTAATCCATTATTATGAATTCACACATTTCCAGATAAATTGCTTTGGATTTTTTTGTAAACATACATTTTTGATGACATGTATTGTTAAGCCTGAAAGGGTAAAAAAGCTGTAATAAATAAACGTCCGCTGAAATCGACACGAAAGTTACCCACTTGTTGGATGCCTTAAGTTAGTTCCATTTCATGTCCCATATTCATTTATTGCGTAATTAATAGTTTTGTTAAACTAGAAACCATAATCTTTACATAACTTTCGATTTCGTTCCATTCATTTTACACATTATTCTTGAATTCCCCAACTTGGGTATATGGGAATGAATGCCCTTTGTAACTGTTAAATGCTTTAACTTGAATACGTACACGTGTTCTCGTACTTTCAGACATCTGTAACGCCACTTGTGCAACTAGTATGTGCTAATCTGCAGGTAATGCCTCCTGCCTTCCTTCTGTCTATATAATGTCCACTGGGGCTTTCACATTCTGAAATATATGTACAATATGTGTATAAATGTCTTCTGGTGCTTTTAAATGTATACAGTTTGTATGTAATACTTCCTACTATTTGCATATAATGCAGCAAGTTTATTAGCTCAATGTACAAGAGCTTTTGGAGACGTCTGTGAATTAATCTTGTCTCTTTCGAATTATTGGCACAACTTTTTCGGGAAGAATTATTTCACTACACACCTCGCGTAATACATTTATTCAAACGCTTTGCTAAGAATACATCAAAAGTTGCATAATATTTTCGTGCAAAGGCATTCTCTTCTAGAAAGCCCGCGTATTGAACGAATCCTTATATGCGGAGCTATGCAAAAAATTGACATACGTTGTCCAAATTCGAGAAGATTGATTTCTATGTGCCTCAAGTCCGCCATTACTGTTGAACGTTGAATGCATTCTTTACGTAGTTGTTACTGCCTATGCAAGTTTTATAAAGACACTATGATGTTTCGAGTAGGCATTCTTGCGCGCTCATTGCTCAATTAGTAGCAAATCTCACGTTTTAAAATTATCGATGGAAAGAGCGATGACGAGAATTGTACTTCCTTTCATTTGATGCGAACTTGATTTAAAATGTATTTGTAAGTGAACGCTTTTAACTTCACGGCTTCTCAAAACCAATTTCCCTTTTCTTGCTTTTATCCCTACTACAAAAAGAAATTTAAAATTTCATTCCATGTGGATACCTATACCGCAATCTTTAGCGATATGTATCGTTTATACAAAGCATCCTTTCGAAGCCATCGTTTGCCTATTAGTTGCTTTTAATGTTTCTTGCTCTTAATATTTCAATATATATTTGTTTACATATTATGTGTATGTAAACTCCTTACGACCTTACTTTCCAAGGCAGCGCAGCCGGCTGTACTTCCTCACAGATGGATGGTAGAATTTAAGGTAAGCACACGAAAATTTAATATAATTTGCCACAAACAAGACTGAACGTAATGTCAAAGAGAAATATCGACTTGAAAGGTTGTCAAAAAAAAACGGGAGGACTTGGTATTAAAACATTAACATATGATTTAAGTGAAATAATAGCTTTTAAATGTCATATAAGCGCAATATAATAAAAAGATTAAAATAGAAAACATGCGTTACATACACATTGTCTAATACACTAATTGACCAGGAAAGCTATAATGCATTTTTCCATTAAATTGTTTAAAAATACTATTGCCTAACCAGCCGCCGCTAGTGATTTTGTCGATGCATTTCAATTAGTCAGAAATACTCATTAAGGGCATCGTATATTATAACATATACGCATGTGGTCATCAAATCAATCAAAGAATTTCGCAGGTTTTGCATGGCATTTCTAACTAAAGAAAGGTATTTTTACTGGGAATCGAAAGTGATTAATGCATTTTAGTTGGTATAGATGAGATAAAATGTTTTGATTGCATTATTTCAAGCATGCGACAGTACATTAAAAAATTCCATGGCTTGTAGTTGGACGAAATTTTTTATGGAACGTAATCCATGATTGAAATACGCTTTGCGTGCGCTACGTGGGCAAGCAGCACTAAAATTGAAACAAAGGTATTTCAGTGAATTTGGTATATGAAAAGATATCCAATGAACGAGATGTGAACAAATTCATAAGGAAGATGGCAACACAAGAAAAAGAATGAATTTCCAAATTTTCCTGCATCGCCCTTCAAAGAATAACATAACATTTCAGGAACACAACTTAAATGCACTGAGCTTAATTGCCTTTGGTTTTTTGGAACCGAGGAGGAGTTTTTGGAATATAATTTAATCAATAAATCGATTTATGCGTGCGCATGGTTAGTGTGAGATTCCGACTTAATGTAGTCGCATTCATTCTTCGTCGACCGATTTTGAAATTTTCTAGATCCACAAAATTAATTCAGAAGTAAGTGGAATTTCTCAAATCGGATTTGCAAATGGCTTCATATTGCGCTCCAGCGAACTCGCAAAGGCATGCTAAAAAGGATACTTTTTAAGATCGACCGAATTAACGAGAAACAATATGAAGAAGTTTCCTAGAATCAGAGGATTAAGTGGGTTGCTTAATATATAATGTCGAAAATGCGATGAATCGTAAAAGCATCGCAATACACGAAAGGAGTGAGTGTAGAAACTTAACGCTCAAAACTTGACATTGTGTAATTTTGCTGCGCTCTAATGGTTCAAAAAGGCTTGGCTTGCTGGACGAAGGGAGAACTGGCTGATATCTTCTATGAAAACTTTAAAATCGATTCGATCGAGAAACGTATTGTGTTGAACCTTCGTCGCTATGCAAATTATCGGAGTAGCAGTTCACGTACTAAAAACCGTTTACAGACCAAATGATCGTTGAATCTTCACCCTAGGTTTATAGAGTGAGGCGTTTAAGCGACGAGTCCGTTCTCAATGTAAACATTGCAGATAATGAGTGTATTGTTGCTCGAAAAAAATTACCTTGAATGATGTTGGATATTGTAAAATATTGGACTGGTGTGCCCGATTTTCTGCATTCTTGTCGTGCTGTTTTAGGGTCATCAATGGAAGGTAAGTGAAAAATTTTATAGTTATATCTGTTTTACGTTAGGAGTACGGAGCTGAAAACCAAACATTTTTGCTTTTAAAGGCAGAGATACTTCCAGTTTAGGATGTAACTGTAGACGAAACCGTTGATCGATTTG